ATTCTTCAGGAACTGACAAGCAGCTGTTGGGTGGCTGCCTAACATTTTACAAACAATTCCTCCTTTGTGTGATCCCTGGCCACCTTTAGGTATTCTTCCATTCTCCAGTCGTGCCAGCCATCACAAGTTCACACTTCTGAGGGTTCAGGGCTTGGATTCCTTCCATGCTTTCCTAAGGAATCAGGGATATCACTTTCCACCCTGCCCACTCTGCTGATTTGTTATGCATTAGTGGTTTCAGGTTGCTCAAAGTGTCACCATCAAAGGTATTAACAGAAGTGGGTTAAATATGAATTTGTAAAAGTGGGACTTAACAAAATTTGATGGCAAGGGTCACTCTATTACTTACTACACTGATGAAGCACACAAAGGAAAATTGAGTTAAAATTGACTTAGAATGAGTTACACAGAGACTGGAGATGCAAAATGTCAAGGGCAACCCTCCCATTGATCAGAGAGGACCCTCTTTTACACTCTAAACCCTTAATAAAGCTTAGGTGAGCTAGGACCAACCTCAGTCTCAGACTTCATCAATAGTTTTTATCTAAAAAACTTTATTTAGCAGCACTTAATCATCGACTAAACATTTATGGAGTGAATCAATAGGATTTACTACAGTCACAATAGTGATTTAATTATAGATCTGAAATCCCAATGTTTATACTATACTTGCTATAGGGATATCAATCAATTACCACATGCACACACACACAAAGGAAAAGGTGATTTTATTTTTAACATTCGGAAACAAAATTCAGACTTTTCTTTCCATTTAAAACTGCTTTTTTTTTTTTTTCTCTTTGCATTTTTGTCCAGTTAACACTGTGGATATTTTCCTGCATATTTCCAGTGCACCATGCCCTTGTTTCAAAAGGATTTTTCCCCACTCACCTTCAAAAATTCTGCGTTTCCAAGTAGGCACCTCTTGGGGTTTTCCCCAGCCCTCCACCTCAGGCAGTGAGGAGCACCCCTCACCTCAGAGGGGAGAAGAGCAGCCCAGTATTTGGGGGTTCCTGGGGGTCTCTGGGAAGGGGGAAACAGAGAGGGAGAAGTTCCCCCTTCCTGGAGTGTGGGAGTCCAGGGCTTCCCTCTGGCTGCCTTGGCAGGTCTGGGACCCTGGCAGGGGTCAGGAACCCCCCTGGACAGAGCCCCCAGAGACACTGTCTGTGATCTCTGTCCATGGAAAAGAGTTTTCAATCTTACAGGGTGAATTACAAGCTCTGAGTGTTTGATAAGAGTAATAATTAAGTGTGGCACAGGTGCAAAAGTAAAATTTTAGGATTCTAGATTAGGGGTCCAAAGGGGACAAGATGGAGGAATTGGGTGTGTCTTGTCCTTTTTCTCCTTCCTCATGCCCTCCATGTTTCACTGTAGTGTTGGCATTTTTCTGTTGGTTAAGGCTGGGGACACACTGTTCAATGTAGGTGACAGATATTGGCACGTTATTGTAAATCCAGCACAGGTAGTTTCTGGTATTTAATGTTTGTAACATCCCACTGAGGGCAGAGCCCCACACGCTGCCCTGCAGGACAGAGCTGCGGCAGGGCAGCAGAACATGTTAGAGATAAACAGAATAAACAACCTTGAAACCAGCACAGACCAATTATGGCTTCTGCTTTGGCAGCGGGGCTGAAAGACAGAGACTTTTTACAGTCTCAGAATCATCAATACCCACAGATTCCGACACTCCTTAACCTCATTTATCTGTCTGTATGAAGTGAGGAGCCCACGATCTGTCTTTACATGGTCTCAAGCAATTTCTTAAATAATTGTGCCCTCCTTCCAGCCCTTTCCCCCTGCACTACTCCTGGCAGCTTGGTGGCTCAGGAAACGGATCCAGGTGAAAAGCAATCCCATTTTTGGCTAGCTGTGGTTTCCAGCAGGAACAGCTCACTGTGGGCTTCCCTGGCAGCTGAAGGGAGAGCTCTGGAGTACCCTGCACAGAACCCCCTCCTCAGCTGCTTTGAGCCATGTGTATTTAACTAGCAGCAGGTGGGAATTTCACCACACACCTGAAAACCTCATCTGTCCCTGCCCCTGTCACCCTGACCCATCCAAGGGAGCTCTGCTTTAGCCAGTGCTGCTTAACTGTCTGCTGCAGGAACCTGAATTGTGTCAAGGGGGTAAAAAAATCCTCAAGAATACTGAAAAATTATTCAGATTAAGGGAATAACACAGGTGACCTCTAAAAGTGTGCCTTGGATCATTTGGGCATGTTTGCTCTTACTGATAAGGGCACCTGGGCTTTTTTTTTTTTTTTTTTTTTTTTTTTTGTAGTAGTGATTTAGCAAACTGTCATTCAAATATTAACCAGAAAGCTCAGCCTTTCCTAGCAGTAATGAAGTTGGGTTTTGCACTCAAACAACCTTGCTGGTCACCAGCACAGCCCAAAAACCCCAGCTGGAGGAGCCCAGAATGAAGAAGGCACCTGAATGTGTTGATGCTGCATCACCAGCCAGGACCCAGGTGTGAAATGCTGGATGCTGGCACCAGTGAAGGGGGATGTTAAATCCCCCCCTTGTTTCCCTGCAGCTGAGGTATTGCTGACAGCAGATTTAATTGCCTTTGTCCTAGCAGGCAGCTAATGAGCATTATGAATAATGCCATGGCTTTTCAGCCCTCCTGAAGCCATTTGTGGGACCTGACTCATAATTCAGCTCGAATCAAAAGGCTGCCAACCTCCTGTGTTACCCTTCTGTTCATACTTTATGCTTATTATTCAGGCTAGTCTTTGGAATTAAAGGGGGGCAATGGGATAGGGAGGTACTAGTAGATTTTATTATTTCACTAAAATTCCTCTTGGCTATGTGTCCTGTAATGATCTTCTGTTGTGTTTGCAACTAAACTTATTTATCAAAGGAAAACCGGGGTGAAAAAAAGTCCACGTTTTTTGGGGGTAACAAGCCTGCTCCATGGAGAGGGCTGGGCTTTGGGCACAGTCCATGGCTGGGGCAGGAATGGGAGCACTCCAGCCACTTTCATCCTCAGCAGCACTCCTGGAGCAGGAACAGGGCATGCAGAGCTCAGAGGCAGAACAGAGCAGGTAAACTCCCTGTTCAGAAGCTGAGTTACACCCAGAAATTCTCCCCAGAGTCCCACCCACCTCCTGGGTTTTTCCCTCCTTACATTTTGATCCCCCTGGGCTGTCTGGTCTCTGCACCACCACAGCAGCATTCAAACCTGTCCTAAGAGGACAGCAAGAGCAAATGTGTTTCACCCAGTTCCTGGTCCTCAGCTCTCCCAGCTGACTCAGGGAAAGACCTGGCTGCCCCAGTGACCTCCTTTTTGTCAGGAGACATTCCTTTTTTTTCACAGAGCCCCTGGGGTTTGTAGATAAATACAGATATAGATAGATACAGACAGAGAGATACTATAGAACCACAGAATGGTCTGGGTTGGAAGGGATCTCAAATATCAGCTAATTCCAGCCCCCTGCCATGGGCAGGGACATCTTTCACTTGACTGAGTTGCTCAGAGTCTCATCCAGCCTGGCCTTGAACACTCCAAACTGGATGGAGCCCTGAGCATCATCTACAGATGGATGGACTGGACAGGGCTCTGTACACATCTCTGTGTAAAACCTGATGTGTGCACCTCTTTGCCTGTGTGCACCCCTGTCAATCGATTGTGGTATCATTGTTATCATGGAGCTATAATTAAGTCACTGTTATAATTGTAGCAAATCCTATTGAGTCACTTTTTAAGTGTTAAATTAGTTGATGATTAGGAGTTGCTAACCCCCTCTGCACCTTTATATTTTTGTATCCATATCCTTTACCCCCTTACCCTTCTGCATCTCTGGTTTCTGTGTAAATCATCCTAAATTGACTGTAATCTGATTTTCTTACATGTGCATCATCCACGGCCTAAGTAATTGAGTCACCTTTGCCACTGAACTCTAATAAAAGTTGCACCCTCATAAATTCATATTAAAACCTGCTTCTTGCTAACACCTTTGAAAGTGATTCTTTGAGTGGCTTAACTGCTCATTCTCACAGGGCTGTGAAGAGGGAGCAGCTTCAGCACTTTCCCCTAAAATATTCAAATCTTTTCAGATCCTTCCCCAGGTGCTGTTTGTATGAGAAATAGGAGAAACAAACAGAAGAAGTGGAAGCACTGGGCAGCTCCAGAGCTCTCATATCTGGTTTTGGTGAGACTTGGAATGTGTCCCACGTTGGGAGTGCTGGGATGGAGGGCACAGGCTCAGGAGAGGCAGCTGAGGTGTAGGGAGAGGTTGTGATGAGGCTGCAGTTTGTGATGATGTGGTTCAGAGCCTTGCAGTGGGGATTGGAGGGGATGGAGAAAACAGGAAATTTGTAGTGGGTGTGCATTACTGATAGCCCAGCATCAGTGAGTTATTCTATAGGCACTTGGGAGAGAATTCTGCACTGTCAACCCTGTGGAAGATTTCAACTTCCCAGACACCAGCTGGGAATATCATTTTGCTAAGATGAGCAGATCTCAGAAATTCCTGACTTTTGTAGGGGATAACTTCTTATCACAGACACTCAGTGAGACAATTCACAGAGATGCTCTTCCAGACTTGCTCTTTGTGGCCAGCACAGGACTTTTGTGGGATGTAGTGGTTTGTGGCTGCCATGGCCACAGCGATTGTGAAATGGCAGAGTATAAAATTTTCAGTGTAATGAGAAAAAAGAACAGCAGAGTTGCTACCCTGGACTGCAGAAAAAATTTTAGGCTATGCAGGGAGCTGTTTTAATGGAGTACACTCAGAATCTGCTTCTGAGGGTTTAAGGAGCCCACAAGTGTAGGTCAGACTTTAGGAACCACCTTTTAGAACCTCTAGAGCAGATGATTCTACTGTGGTTTGAGTCAAGCACATGGAGCAGAAAGCCAGTTGGCTGAATAGGGAACCCTTCATGGAGCTCAGGAGGAAAAAGAAATCATGCAAGGTCAGGCTTCAGAAGAGACAAAAAGCCAAAGCTCCATTAGAATTGAAAGAGAAAACATCACCAAGGGAAAAAAAACAGAGACCCATGTTTAGGAAAGGAAATGTATTTTATTGAAAAAAAAATTACATTTCACTTATACACCATGAAAATACTGAGTTGTGTGTTATTTTCATAAGAAGAGGTCAAGACTTGCACAAGAAAACCACATTCTTTATTACAGCATTACTCCATGAGATGAGGCTCTGGTGGCATCTGCACTGGGCATTTTCACTAAACAGTAGAGCAGGGCTAAATGTGCTTTGGGCAAAAACCCTAAATATTGGCCTCTTCCAGGTGCTACTGCCTGTTGAAGACATGGCACTCATTTGGTCAATACTGAATTATTTCCGAATTAAGAGACAAATCTCATCGTTTCCCTACACACATAGGTCCTAGGCAAATTCACAGCTATCCCTCCAGTCCATTTTCAACAATCTTGATTTCCACATTCAGCCAGATAAAAGCACGTTAAAGCAGTGTATGGGCTGCCAATCTCCCATCTCCCAGAAAGAAAACAACACTGGAAGGGGATGCATTGCACCAACAAACACTGACAGCCAAAGGCAGGGTCATTGCGTGGTGCTGAACTCTCCAGGGTTTCCTCCCATCACTGCAGCTCCAGCAAGAACCCCAAATTTCCTCCCTGCCAAGGTGTGTGCTCACACCTAGCACGTGAATACACGCTGTGCCAAAGGCAGGAGTGCCTGCAGGTGGCATCCCAATGGCATCTGTCACAGCCGTGTCCCAGGGACTGTGCTCCAAGCCAGCTGTGACAGGCTCTGTCACCTCTGAAACCCCCCTGTGAACTACAGACCTCTGGTGAGGAAAATCTTATCAATCTGCCAATGAAAATTCCCAGGTAACTCCCCTTATTTATTTATAGATTTATTGATGTCAGTTTTTCCTTGCTTAAAGGGAGTGGGAAGGAAAAGAGCCAGACCTGGACAACTCTAGCACCATTTAAATGCTGTGAAAACAAACTGGACATTTTCTCCACCTGGATCTCCCCATTATATTCCCTATTTAAAGCACTGATTTATTCACTGCTATTTCCTGCTCTGCTAGGCACAAGCAGCACACAGATCATTAAGAACAGCCACACCAAATATTTTAGCACTATAATATTTTTGTGACACAGGGGATGGGATGGATTGAGAACACCAAACTCTGATTAACTGAATCACCAACTCTTCATTCAAGTACTTCACTCACAAATATTTATTTTCTTTACCATTAACCAAGCAGCTCTGCAATTAGGTCCTGCTCAGCCAGCACCTCACTGCCAGGGAGAGGCAACTCCACCCTGCCTCATTTTTGAGCAGCTGCATTGTCCCAGACCCTCTCCAGCAGCAGCACGGGCACTTATCTGTTCCCAGCACGAGGAGGTTAAGGGAACTAAAGAAGATTAAAAATTCAGGAGTTTTGACTATATGAATTCCTCATTGATTTTAGCCCTTCATGTCCCTTGTTATGGGGACAGGCAAATCAGGGACAGCAGAGAAGACAGGAGAGGAAGGTTAGGGCACAGTTTTATGGTGTAGCTGAGATGGACAAGGTAGGTCTACCACAGCAGCTGATAATTCTCTATCTTTCTTTTCAAAAGCACAAAACCCAAGCCTGAATAATTTGAATAATGCACTTCCAGAGTCTCTTGGTTCTCCATGGCCTGCAGAAGAAATCTAAGGGAATTATGCCACGGCCAGGAGAGCAGGGGGCTGTACACCAGGAGCTGCTGGGTGCACCAAGAGCTGTGCTGAACCCCAGCCTTGGGACAGCACTGCCAACAAACTCACAGCTCCACATCAACCTCAGCTCCCACTTGCTCAGAATAACTCCTCCACATTTCCCCCAGGGCAGGATGCAGGCAGAACAGCCACCCTGCCACCACCACGGGGATGCTGCACCCGCAGATTCCCAGGAGGAGGAAAGCCAGGCACAACAAACCCCAGCACTGCTGTTCCCTGCCACAGCTCCCTCCTCAGCAATACATTATTCATTTCAGTGACATTTCTACTGCTAACTTAGCAAAGCAGAAGTGCTTCTTTTTTAACACATCCAAAAATTGGGAACTCTCGGGAGGAAAACTCATGATAAATTCTCTACTTTTTGCGGTGGTGATTTATTCACAAGAGTGAGGATGCTGCCGTGTTAAATTAAAAGGGACATAACAAGGGATGCTCAGTTTTGCCAAATCACCAACTGCTCCGGTAGGTAATGACATTTATCATAGGACAATGCTCCAAAAACTCCTTTATGATGCAGACCCTTGTGCTTTTTACAGAGATCCTGAAGTTCACAAAAAAAAATTAAATCTGGGCAGTATCTGGACAGTTGTCCTTTAGCCCTGGTCTCCCAGCCATAAAAAACAAAGGCTCACTTTGCTTAGCAAGATGAAAAAATCCTGCTGTGGTTTAGAACCCTGTGAACAGCTTTGCCTTTTGACTGAATGGGATTTTATCAATAATTCAGCTCTCCTGAAAGGCATTTATGAATTTGAATTCAGAACAAACAACTAAAATTCTTCATGCTGTTACAGCTGACAAACTACAAGGAAAAAATCTTTCCCCATTTGTCCATTCAGCTGTAGCACAAGCTATGAATTATCTTGGTCAGGTCCATACAATGGGAAGAAGCAATTTTTGTTCCATCTTTTGGCTTGTCCCTATCTTATTTAATTAAATAAACATCCCCAATTTTTAACCTAACCTAGATGTATTTGAAACATCTTTCCAATGCAAAATTTCAGGTTTATGCCACAAAGCTTACCTGATGTTAAAGTGGATAAGGTAGCAATATTTAGGGTTTTCTTCTTAAACAATGGTTATCTACCATCCTATTGCCTCTCTCTACAATCAAGCGTACAAGCCTTACTGCAGGAAGGATACAACTTGTAATGGCCAACCAGAAAAATACACAAACACTAGAAAGCCTACAGTTTGATCAGAAATTAAATAATTTGCTATTACACAGAACTTCATTGTTTTTCTGGCACAGAAGTAGTTGAATTACTACACACACCTCAAGGACAATCATTTAAGATGTGTAAACAGATAACAGTTCCACCTAGTCAGTACAAAGCACCACACAAACTTTAAGTACATAGAAAGTTTGCTCATAAATATTTCTTTGTTTAACAATTCAGCACTAAAAAAATAATACTTAAAAAGGCATCTTTTATTAAGTTATTCAGTTTGTCCAGGGCTGGTGGGGTTGTACTATCCCTACTATATTACAGCCACCTGACTCTCTTTCCAAACCATTGTATTTCTCTGGAAGAGAAGGCTATGTGTGGCTGGGACCCAAAGCTTCAGCACAATCTATAAAAATATAATTCTTTAAGACCTTCTGCTCACATCCTGAAGGCCTACTCAGCCAGCCCCCCAAATTCTGTTTCCCACCCCTACCACATTGCAAATAAAGCTTCAACATACAAACACACACACACACGGAGTACATAAATTACACTCTTCTACACACAGATTTTTTTTTTTTTCTAAACAGCAATGCAACCACGAGGGCAATAGGTAAGTGTGATTTCAGTGGTAACATATGGCACAGCCTTCTCATATTGCTGGTTTTCTCTCTCTGAATAATGTGCTGCCTTGTTCTCTGCTCTGCACTTTGGGGGATTTATTACCATTATTGCACTGTGGAGGCACTGAGTCAGGAATGTGAGCACATTTAGGTGCATCCCATCTGCCTCGAGGTCCTCTGCTGCCAGAGCAGCAAAAGCATCAAACTGGTGGCACTGGGGCTGTCACCTGGCACTGGTGAAGCAGATGGGAGTTTTCCCTGGCTGCTGACTGCCACACCACATTCCTCCCTTCTGGGAAATGGTGAGAACTAGCTGGGTCTCTCCTGAAGCAGTGCCCTGACAGCAGCAGCCCTTTGCTCAGGGCACACTCCTCCAGTGGCTGATTGAACCTCAGGGATTTACCTGAAATCTGCTCCTGCATATGTGTACAAACTCACTGGTTCACTCATTTATTGACAATAATGCACTTTCAAGAGTTTTCATCTATGTGAAAGAGCTATTTTTGGGCTGTGATTGAACATCTTGAAGCTTAGTTTCCATGGCTGACAAATGTCTCTAATGGAGGTGTTTTAGAAAGCTACAGAACTGCTCAGCAGGCTCTCACTTACCAGGAACATGAAGAACATGTGCTTTCAGGAATAACAGCTCTCCTCTCTGGATATCTAATCCTGGGATTCTCAACAGGAGTGGAATGACTACAGCAAGGGGATGTACAAGGGATGTGCTTCCCTTTATGAAGAAATATTTTAGTACCAGAGTGACCAAAATTTGTAACATGTCTCAGCTTTTAAAAGCATTCTTCACCTGGACAAGAACCTTTACTTGGGAGGGGTAGTTTTCTTCAGTGTAAAACAAACCAAACCTCTCCAGGACACAAGTGGAATGACATGGCACTTCCTGCTCTCCTCAACCTGGATCCCTGCTCCTCTCCTCCTGCAAACCACCACGCTGGCAGGGACACTGCTGAGTGCTGGCAGAAGCTCTTGTTCCCACTTGAGGAACATTTGTTTCCCTGTGTGCTCCACCCTACACGGTGCAGGTAAAAATTCAGGGAGTGGAGTGCAGTTAAACGCTGCATAAGGAAGAGATCTCAAAATGAGTTATGGTTCTTACTCCAAGCCCCTCTTCTCACCTTGTCTGGAGGAAAAAAGAGCACAACACAATGAGGTCCTACATATACAAGTAAGAGGAACTCAAGGGAGGGGTGCAGAATGCCAGAGACTTCCTTCCCTTAAAACCTCTTTAAAAAAAAATTAAGACAACAAGGATGTTACTCACTTCCACATCCACATCTTACAGTAAGATGATTACAGGTCACAAATGTGCTCTCTTCCATTAACTACCCTTTCTCTATCCTAGGACATAACTAAGGAAACATTTCATTACATCCACTTTATTCAGCAAGACTATCAAATCATTCTTGTGCTGTTTAATTCTGAAATGATTAACATATTTAAAAATAGGATCTAACAATCTGTATGTGCACAGTATAATAAAGGTAGATGCTTTTATTACAATCTTCCTTGCCACATATTTTAAAATAAAATTAATCAATACAATCACCATAACAGTCTCAGACAACAAATTAACACCATCCAATCAAGACACAGTTAAAATACTCAAAAGGCAGTATGAGTAGCTGGAAACCTTGGTCCTCCAACTCTTTTGTATAACACATGGATTATAGATTTCTCCCCACTTGAGATAAAAATCAGCACACGAACATTAACAATTCATACTGCAGGTTTCTGAAGTGTTTCTACCGAGTGTGACTAGCACTGATTTTAGCACAATGTCTTTATGCACGTCTCAATCCAGGCCCAGAGTAGATGGTTTGTAAACAACTTTTGGTCTCTCCTGCACAGGCTCCAAAAACGAGTGGGTGGACTTGAGCAGTGGCCAGAGGCACTGCAAATAACCCCAGGAAAAGGGGACCCGACCCAAATTAATTCCAGAATGGAGAAAGAATGTGAGGGAAGTTGAGTGGACACAAAGCATTCACCTTTTATGCACCCAGGACGGCCAGGGAAGGTTATCCATTATTACAGACTCCACTCTCTGGGCTAAAGTGCTTGTTCTCCTGTCATCAATTAGGACCTAAGCTAGTTTAGATTAACCTTTTATCTTTAATTAAAGGTTTGCAAGTGAATCAGACAATGCTAGTCAGTCTCCTGCAAGCCCCTAAATAAATAGTGGGCACTGTCTGACACCAAGACACTTTCCAGCTGCAGGAGACAGACAGCAGGAACTCAGGAAAAGATGCAGGAGGAGAGGAGGGAATGAAATATTAGACAGGACTGTGCTGAGTCTTTGAATTTTGTTCTGCACATGAGCTTTGTGTAACTCTAAACAAATAAAAACGTGTACCTTGACATTCAGAAATTAGCCTGCTGTGGCTACAAAACATTAGCTACAGAATATATTTACAGCTAATTTCTCATGCTTGTTCCTGGCAAGAGATGTTAATTCTTCATTGAAGATATAAACCTGACCTAATTTAGATCAGGTCAGTGGGAGTTTAAAACAGGTATCACATGAGCAACCCTCAGGGACTCAAGCAACAGCAGCTCAATGCTGCAGGATCCAGCTACTGTGAAACAGGAACTTTTGCAAATTGAGCACATTAGTATGAAGATTCTTTTTTAACATGGGTGTCACAGATTCTAAGGAAGGTGTGAATTCCATTCTCTGAAGAAATGGGAAAAGATTACACCTCACAGGTATAAACTGCTCCAACAAACATATCACTTTGTCTTTTATGTCAAGATCATGGTTCATCATCGTTTATAATTAAAATCTTGTTTGCAGTGTTTGTCTTCCCAAATTCCAAACTTCTTTATTTCAGAGAAAACAGCCCTTGCCTTTCTCTCAATCCTCTTGTGAAGTCTGTTTATTCTATTGGCAAAATAAAATTGTGCTGTCTCACACTTATTAAAAGGGCATTGACCATTGTCTGTACAGGCAGGGAACTTCAGGATGTTGATTCCTTCTTCCTAAGAGGGCAGCAGGTTTTATACACTTCCATATGAAACAGTCTATTTTTAAAAGATGGATAAAGTCATAGTTATGTTTGGAATATGGCATGCAGCACTTGGTTAATCAATGTTAGAGAGATAAAATCCTTTCCATGTTCAACTGTTGAAACATATCACCAGCTACAGTATTTAAATATCTTTGCTGAAAGCAAGTATCACAAAAGAGGTAATTGTCTTCCTGGCACAGCTGCCCAAGCAAACAACAGCTTACTTAAAAAAGGGGATGAAATATTATTATGAGTATTTTCCAGCCCATCTGGAAGTTTGTGTTGCAGGGAGAACAACATTTAAAAATGCAGCTCTACAAAGAAAGGTTGTTCAGGGTGCTCAGAGGATCATGGAATGGCTGAGGTTGGAAGGGAGCTCTGGAGATCCTCTGCTCCAACCTCTGAGCAAGCAGGGCCGAGGACAGCAGGGTGCTCTGGGCCATGTTCAGTCAGCATCTCCAAGAACAGAGACTCCACAACCTCTCTGGGCAGCCTGTGCCAGTGTTTGATCACCTTCACAGTGAAGTATATTTTCCTAATGTTTAAATGGATTTTCCTGTATTTCAATTTGTGCTCCTGTCTATTTATCACTTCCTTGGGCACCACAGGAAGAACCTGGTTCCCTCTTCACTGCTTCCCATCAGACACTGACACGGCAGGTCACATCTTTTTACAGGTTGGGCAAGCAGCTATGAGCTCATATCTCTGTTACTGACTGCTCATTTTAGCAACTGTGCACAACACCAAAATTATTATTGCTAGAAAGTTATTTCATGACAGTGGTTACTAAAAACTAGCAGTAGAGTCCCATATTCTAGATAAATTCCTGCTGATTTTTTTCCTTAAATTCTCAAGTAACGTGATTTTTTTTTTCACTTTTGATGCCAAATGCAGGAGAGGAAATCAATCAGAAATGCAATTTCCATCCCTTTATGCAGTCTGAGACAAGTAAGGCTCATCAACTTGATCTGGATTTAACATCACACTAGACTTTATCTTGGGACAAGCAAGAACATGGATCCCAGACAGAAATCCTACAGAAGTGTGAGTGTTCAGTACTTGTCAACAGACCTGCCCTGCTGCTTTAGTATGTGCCTATGATCCCTAGGACACTGAAATGATTAAAAATCCTGTTCTGAAGCCTTATTAAGCAGAATTGTGCATCAATAATAATAATAATGTAGTATTTCTGTAATCTCCAATTGTTGTTGCTTGGAGAGATATTAAGAAGTTAATTTTTCTGTCTCACTGCATTTGGTAAACACATGTTAACTGACCAGATCTTACTAAACCAAAACCACTACTTTTGCCACATTGCTTCATTGCTAAGGCTGCCATCAGTGCTCACTGATGTTAAGTGAGGTACCCATGCAGTTCCTAAGCACATCCACCCACAATGAACACACCAAGGCAGCCAGCTCCCAGGGTAAGAGCTGCTTTCTCTTTTGCCCTTAGTTAAAAGAGAATCAAACCTGGCCTCAGAGGCCACCCTTCTAACCAGTGGTACTGAATAAAGGCATGATCATTTTAATGAAAATGTTTCTGGAGCAGCTTTTGGAGCAAAATCATGTGGGCACCCACAGATGTGAGAAATAAGCAGCCAGAACCTGTGACAACTGAAACCGTGCAGCTCTTCATGGAGAAGAAACAGGAGCAGAGATCAGCATCATGAATGACACCTCAAGGTCACTTCAGAGTACTGAACATGCCAAACATCTTCAAAGTACTCCTACACACAAGCAGAACTGTGTGTGTAGCTTTAACCCTGCTTTGTTTCATAGCAGCTGAGATGCTGAGTACCAGGGCAGGTAACCAGGTACCTCCAGGAAAAGGGAGCATGGAGCCAGCTCCATTGGCACTAGATGCCATCTTGAAATACATTTTCCAGTCAGTCAAGCATTCCATCAGCAAATTCACATCTACAGTCTTTGGCAAGGCAGGAACATTGCTCTCTTGCCCTGGGTAATCACACAGACTAAGTGAATCTGACAGACATTGGGATACCTGGGAATATGCTTCAATGCACACTAACTGTTCTGGTTCTAAAACTGAGCAAGGCCAGCACATATGATTGAGAGTGGATATCTGCCTATGCTGGGCACTATTTCATGAAAGTCAGGTTTCTGTCACAGATCTAAGGCAAATATTACAATTTACAGGAAAGAAATGAGGACATCGATACATTGTGCGTTATTGGAGACGTGGAGCCTTTATAACACGGTGGCTTTCACTATGATCTCTGGGTTTTCTATGTCCTTTTTGCTTTGGACCATTCTCAGTTCCAGCTGGGCTGAGTTTGGTTTGTTTCCTTCTCCAGCTTGCACTAAAAAGATGACATCAGAATGTCATTAAAAACAGCAGTATAAAAAGAAACAAGTTACATTGTTCTGTTACCCCATGATTTTCTCTACCTTCCTCCCTTCCCCACTCTCCCTTACTGCTCCCTGCTAAAGGCTTCCAAGGTGGAAAATCCAGGTCAGCACTGATTTCTTATCACCACTGTTCCACACCTCTCTCCAGGAAAGAAACATTGCTCTGCTGTTAATTAGGAAGTCACACAGACATGCTCAGAGAACCCACAGATTTCCTTAAGAACTGAAAGATGGGAGCTCCAAGGGGAGAGAAGCTGAAAAAAAAAATCACCCCTCACATAGGCCAACACAGCAAAGAAACTGTGATTAGCTGATAAACCCTTCTCAGAGGGACAGTGGGTGAGCTACACTGAAGCAGGAGCTCTTTGGCACACCAAACTCAGCATCTCCTCCAGTTCTGCCGCGTTTGCAGAGCTGAGTCAGCCACAGTCAGCACGACTGTCACCCAGCACAAGCTAAACAGTGACATCTGCAGTTGGCTCTGGCCAAAAATGGCCTTGGAGGACACAGCAGGAACATGCAGACAAAACTACCAAGCTCTCGTTCTGTAAATTCCCTGCCTGAGGGAAATTTTCGTCAGGAAACCCAGAAAGCTCCTTGAATATTTCTTCTGATGCCAACAGAACACAGGAACGAGGTCTGGATTAATTTAATTTACCTTTTGCACTCTTAATGGTCCTTTGCAGAACGTGCTGCATGGCTGACACAGTCTTTTCACATGCCACCTGCAACAATATATTTAGGGTTCAGTAAAACTTCAGCTACCTACTTTAGTATTACTTAATTTTACTTAATATTATTTCAAAAACACTGCTATTAAGAGGAAAACATGACTGACAAAACAAGCCTGATGACAACTATGCAATGCAAAGTTTGGGAAAACAAAACCTTTGACTTAATTCTCCCTAAACAGGTATTAGAAATCATAATTGTATCAAGGATTCTATGTCCTTAAGGGAAAGAAACAGAAAATGTGATTTGGGAAATTATTTTCAGTGTTTATTATGAAGTGAGGATGAAAAAATGTAATTATATATATGCATACAGTCTGTCTGTTTAGAAAGAACAACATCTTATTTTGGCAAAAATACAAAATCAATCTAACTAAAATATGACAGTTTATAATGTCCCTTTTGGCAAAAGGGAAATTCTGTGACTTTTTCTCTGAGGTGAGGGAAAAAAAAAAAAGCCCAAACAGAAGACAATATTTAAATAATGCCACAGGTTAGAATTAAAAAAAAAAAAACAACTCAGGAGAAACAAGGTCCAAACTTGCAGAGAGATGAGTAACTTCTCCCCCACCTTCAAATTGTTTGGGTGCTTGTGTGTCCATGCCAGAAGCATAGCAGCAAACAAGTCTCCTGTTCCAACAAAGACAGCATCCACTTTGGGAGACTCCACTCGAATTCTCTGTGTTATCCTGGTACCATCTGCTTTAGCTACAACACAGATCCACAGTTAAGTGACAGACCCAGCAACTAATACAATAGCGATCACTAGAATTTAAAAATAAATATTTTTAAAAGTCATCATCAGATTTGAGTTCCTTTGCTGTTTGGAACTAAAGGAGTATTGTAAACTTTGTACCAGCTCTTTTAAAAGGAACAGTCTTCTGAACCTTGGCCAGCTTGGGACAGCATTTACAACTTCTATACTGTACATACTTCATTAAAGAGGGAGGAGAGAGCTACCACCTTCATTTTTCACCCCTCATAACTCTGCTCTTTTCAGGTGGAAACACTGTGTGACAGTCTGAGCACACAGTGAAGCCTGGTGGCAGTACAGAAGGGGACACAGAGAAGAAGCACAAAGGTATTTTATAACCTATCAAGGGGGGAACAATCTGCTAAGAGGAAGGACAGAGTGACTTTTCAGAAAAGCATTCAAACATGCCAAGTCCCTGTTTTACATCCTTATTACCAGGGTCAGTACCAGGTGTAAGAGTCCCAGTAAACCTTGCCTAGGACATCCTCCTCCTCTGCCCAGGAGCTGCATGGAAGCTCAGGCTGGGGCACCTGAGATATGGTCCAGATATTCCTGTGTACAGCCCTTCTGTCCTGATGTACTTACTGACTTTTCCAGATTACTCTCAGAGCTGGTTTGCCTCCCTAACTCTGGATTGTCACTGGGATTTTGTGTGCCACATTCCCTGTCCTGCTGACCTTACTCAGGTGCTGTGCCCAGAGGATGGGGACAGAGTCCTGCCTGGGCTGTGATCACACTCAGCTCTCGTTCCACCCTCATGGAGCAGCCCCAGTGTCACCACCGCTGACATTACTGCAGGACAAGGGCTCACTTAGAACCTGTGCTCCTTCCATGGGCCTGGTGGAACCACTTCAAGGAGTAACTGCAAGCACAGCCAGGTTAAAAGAGGGCACAGGTAAGGAAGGAGCTCTTCACTTACTTTTTCTGTGGCTTCCCAGAGCAATCAGGTAGTCGTTTCCTAGAGGTGCCTGTAGGTCTGAGCTTGTGATCACCACAGTCTCTGGTCCCATGGCATGGAGCATATCCATTACCTTTCAGTGTGCAAAAAGGCAGGAATCAGTGACTGCAATATGTGTTGGTTAAACTTTCATTCATAATACTGAGGATTTTTAACAAACACCTTATTTTGGCATCTTTTGTAAAGAGGAAAAAAACCCCCAGTCTCTATTCAAATAATCCACTTGAATTAGGAGCATTACTTTGAACCACGGGAATCAAAACATCCATATTTAAATGTACACACTTGTTAAAATACACAAGCATTTCTGTTTGTGTTATCTTTGGATGCTCCTCTGGAAAGAAAACTCTGTTTCAGCTGCGATCAGAATTTTTGCCTGCATCATGTTTTCAGAACACATTGTCAAAAGAGTAAGAGAATAAATATACAGACATGTGCACCTCATCTGGCATCTTGAAGCCAGATGAAAGAAAGCATTTTCTAGAAACCCAGCAACTCCAGGTCATGAAATCTTATTTAGCTACTACTTCTAGAGTTACCAAAAACTAAAAAACCTAAATCAGAGGCAAAAGTGTGTCTGTCTCAATCTTCTTTTCTCATTCTGTTTCAACCCTCAAACTACAGCTGTAAATTATATACCTTTGCAGATGTATTTCCACTCTGTGTGTTCCTCACTTAAACTCATTAATACTCCTGACATCACAATTGGTTGTTACAGACAGAAGTGATTTTGATTTCACAGAAAAAAGAATTACTTCAATAATGAGTTTAGTATAAAACATGGATAAAATATTAATTCTCCCAGAAGAGTTTAACTAAAAACCCTCTCAGGCTAGCTATGACTCATGAGCAGCTGAATGATAAGGATTTATTTCTGCTGGGTTTTAATACTTTATTGCTTTTCTTTCTTGCTAAGCCTCCAAGTTTCTTCAGCTGTCAGACCTCTTTGCACAGACATCTGGGATTTGGAGAAGCAGAAAATCCACCAGCACACACTGACACAATCAGTCTGTGCAGGAATATGAAACTAAATTTAATTTCTCAGTCACAATTCACCAGGACCCTCATCTCCACTGTCTCTAGTTGTAGGACTTAGTCCTTTCTATGTTAATATTACATCATACTTAATTTTATGTAAGAAGACACTACAGTCATCACAGGTCTTGCTAAAGAAAGGAAAGCAAGCATGAAATCATGGAAATCAATACCAGAATTCATACCACCTCTAAAGGGGACAAATTCCAGCATGGATTATTACTCAGACCCATATATGACATGCAGCTGGAAAGAGAGATAGATTAAAATTTAATATACTGCAAACAACTTCTTTAAAAATGTTTCCATGTCTAGGTATAATTCCACCTCTATGGGAGAGATGTTTTTAAAACCCATCACAAATCAGAGCTATGGCATGAGTCAGTCAGAAGACTAACTGGTAAACTGTTTAGCACATTCAGCTCATGTTTGCAGCTGAAATATGCAAATTTATAACTAATGGCTGCTCAGCTAATTATGTTCTTCTCAAGACTGGTTCCAATGGTGAGGATGGGAACAGAAGAACTGAATTGCAGTCACTGGCATGAAGCTCATCACCCTCACCCAGCACAGTGGGGTAATGTAAAACTGGGGGCAGTGGAAATTCAAAGAGATGAGATCTCTGTAGCTGCTTCCTGCTGTGAAGGGATGGCGACCAAATCGTGTTGTTTGACGTTGCTACAGCAAAAAAACAACAAACATTTGGGCTGACAGACCCCCAGGTACTCTCCAGGGTGCCACTGCAGCTGCTGCTTGTTTAAAGATTTTGTGTTCTTTTGAAGTTCAAAACCAAACTAGAGGGAATTACATCAGTCCATTATGAAAGCACTTGAGTAGCCAACAAAACAAAGAGCTCAGCCCTTCTCAAGACATCAATAAAACTGTATTTCTATTTTGTCCTCCACCATCAATCCCTACAGGTTTTTATTTTCTTCACTTTGTGTGAAAGGGCAAATCATTACACCTCCATGCAATATATTTGCAGGCCATCTATCAGCTCTACATGGCAATGACAGCAGCTGTCAATGCTGTGAATTTATCTGGGAGAATGAGGAAAAGCTGTCCTCACGCTCAGCATTGCTGAATGTGGACAGCAGAGTCCCAGAGAGGTTCCTAATGCCTGGGGTGTCCTGGGGTTTTCACCCCAACCAAATAATATCCACAGAGCTGGCAGTGTCTGGGTGTGCTGCTGCCACTCCTCCTTCACTGCAGAAAGCAAGAGATGTGCTCACTACCACTGCAATCCCTTTATCTGGGGCTCTTTTGGGAAGTTCCTTCAGAATTGTGACACTAAAACAGGAAATCTTTTGTGCCTGAAGTGTACAAGCTTTAATGATGACCACATGGAAAGGACAGAGGCTAAAGTGACTCCAAGGTTGAAGGCAGGAATGCAGAGAGAGGTGTCACACATCCCACCCTTTGCCCACTTACCTCCAGTGCATCTTTTTCTGTGTAAATCTTCCTGCCTGTGAGTAACCTGGAAATGAAACAGAAACCTTAAAAGAGCAAGAGTTCTCCAGGCAGTGACTGTTTGTTTGCCCTTTCAAATGAGGAAAGCTGGGACTGCACCAAAGAGGCCAAACCCATCTGTAGCTCCAGGGTCTGCTGGACCAGAGCTCAGTGTGTGAGGCTATGTGCACAGTGCTGCTGAAATGCACACACACCAGTCCCCCCCTGCCTCCTCCAGAGATCTCTGCATCACAAACATTCCCTCACAAGTGTTTTCTCACCCTCTCCCATGGAGCTGCTCCCTCCCTTTAGGGTACAGCCTGTGCAGCACCACCACAGATTATCTCCTGACCAAAGAGTCACGACCATGCAGACAGGACAGGCAGGAGACATTTAAATTCTTAGCTCCTGTGAGATGTTGCCATGCTGGTATTTCTGAATCTAATTTTGAAGTGGGGGTGGTGGTTTTGAACCAAACTATTTCAGTTCTGATATTCTGGCACATAATAAAAATGTTCATAGTAATGGGTAAGGATGTAAAAGGTACTTTTTTTAACTTATCCTAAAAACAGGCCCCTGGTGATAACAAGAAATCATCATGAAAATGAGACACTGAAGAAAACAAGAAGAATCTTTTCCTCACATAACTCCTAGGTTTTTTATTGGTTTCAACATGCAGCAATTGAGGTTATCTGAAAAACACCACTTGAAACTAACAGCTAAAACTCAAAACCTAACACATACATACATACATACATAAGGCACTATATTGAGACAAATAAAATTAAGGACTATCAGTCTTCCTTGCTTTTTTCCACAAGTTTTTTTGTCTAGAAAAGGAAATAAGCACTTACTCAGCTTCAAACTGGTTAGGAGTGATTATATCTGCAACAGGTACAACTTTGTCCCTGTAGACTGGCAGGAGATCCTTGGGCACATACTGGGGAGGAAAAACAGTGTCAGAAGTTGTCAGCAGTGTCAGAGATGTGGGACTGCAGCTCTCCTTCCCTCAACCACCATTCCTGTTGCCACTGAGTGACCTGACAGCCCCAAGGGTATACAAGAGACATCTCCCATCCTCCAGCTGGGGACACTGTCACCAATAGCCCTTTTTTTGCCTGGAAGGGATGGGAAGCACCATTTTTAAGCAGATGGACCTAAACAGGCAGCATTAAAAGGAAATGATGCCTGGGTGAGGAACTTTCAAGTTCTCTCTCACCAAAGTGACACAGCAGCATGAGGAAATACAGTGTCCCAGCTCATTCATGTCCTTACCTCCAAAGCAAACCATTTTATTCAAAATTTTTGTTTAAAAATGAGTGTTTTTTTGTCAGTATGCAGCCTGGTATTGGCACATGGGACCTTTCTATCACTGATCAGAGCCCAGAGCCCAACAGCTGTCAGCTCCCACATGAAATAAATCATCTTCATTTAGGTTCCAGGACTGTGTCAATTCCCAGGATGACTGACAATGGCAGCCAGGCTACCAGCCAGAACACAGCTCCTGAGAGAGGATGAGAGAACTCCAGAGAGACAAGAATGGGGAGCAGGGTGATATTTTCCTCTGGACAGGGTCTGTGTACCCTCTATTGTCTCAGGAGAGAGCCAGAAATAATCCCAGGGCTGGGCAGCTGTCATTCTTTCTAGATACCAATCTCATTCAAAACCAAGAAATTTAAGTACAAACTTCCTTGATGATGAGATCCAAAGCCACATTTAGGTAAAGCACCTTTTTCTGTTTTTGTTTAAAAAATAAGAACTCTTTATCCATCTTTATACAACAAATATTCACTACCCAGAGAATCCAAGCAGAAGAGTACTCACCATAGAGCCTTCTCCATTCCACTTGTCACCCATCACTGGATCACACACTAGAAAAAAAATTAGGTTTAGAAATAGGGTGCAGCTATAAAGACTCTGGTGGGAGGGAGAAATTTTAGGTGGTGGCTACAGAAGAGCACTGAGCACCTCAAAGCTTACACACTTACAGCTCTTGCAGCACTCTGAAATTCAGATGTGGTGGCTGCCAATTTTGAAAGAGTAGGTCTTAAAAAGTTCTGTCTTAAAAAGTTGTGTCTTAAAAAGTTGTCTGTAATGGTAGTATGGAGGGGAGAAACATGGGAGAAGATAACAGCTCTGAAGAGAGTCCTATTTTTACTTTAGTGTATAAAAAATACATGCCAAATATACACAGGAAAATGCCATGTGTATATTAAATAAAGTACTATAACAAAACAGTAAAAAAATTCATGCCAAAGTATTTGGTGTAATGATATTAACACATTTGGCAGAGCTTCTGGATCACCAGCAGTACTAACAACACACTCCAAGTGTCCTCAGTGAGGATAGAAACAGCCTAGCATTGCACTTCAAAAAGGAAGATTGTTCATTGTATTAAAAGATCTTTAAGCAAGATCAAAAAGAAACACAAATCCAAAGATCAGTGTCAGTATTTCAGGAAGTTTCTATGAGTAAAAAGAGGGCAATTTGTTTTACATTTAAAAAATATTTTCTTTACGTTAGAGTCTATTTATTAAACATACAGGATCTTAGAAGCCTCGTTGTGATCTCACCACCTGACCGCTTCCTTCCTGCTCTACACAGTGAGATGTCTCTGTTCATATTCCAAAAGAGTCTTTAGCTTTCACACAAAGGCTATGAAGAATTTGACAATCCAATTGTGTAAATAAAGGCTAAAAAGCAACAAAACCAAGACAAGATTTCTCTGCTATATTTTGCTAATTAAGACCTATGCTTTGTTAATTTTAAGTCAGGTATCACTGCTCAGTACAACACCCTGCAAATCCTGCAAATCATTTGAGATGTTTCCTGGCCACGGTTTACTGAGCCTGGAGATGACAGCTCAAACCATCATTCCCAGCTTTTTATCCCATTAATTCCTCACTGACTTTGCCCTATCAATCTGAAAGCTTTGCACAATTCAAGCCTAGTTCAAAATTCCTGAAACACTCAGGAAAGGAAGGAAGGGAAGGGAAGAAATCTTTTCTCACAGGTTGAAGCCTGATGTGATGTATTAGTGACAACAGCCGCTGGAGCCTCTTGCTCCCTGGATAGTCCTAGGGAATATTAAAAGCACCAGAGCTAAAAAAGCCCTGGAGTTCAAGGTAAATAATGAAACTTATCAGGCAAAGTAGGACATTTCTGGGATTCTACATGGAACCATGGCAGGGTGACATGGGAGAGCCTGTCCTGCTCTGGCTGACTTGGAAATCAAGGAGAGGCTTCACTGCCAGCACACACAGCCTCTGAATTATCAGCAGCAGCTGGCTGGGATTTGTATTTTTTCCAAGATACAGACAGCCAGTCCTCAAGGCACACCCTCCTTTGGATGGCATAATGCAGAAACCACACTGAAAGGCAGCAAATACAGAGATAAAACCCAACTCCCTCACCACCTAAAGCTGAAATGAAACATCACTGGAGGCCCAGCTGGCTCCAGTCAGACCAGAAATGTTGTGTAACATCACAACAGTGTTTCCAGCCTAAAATGTGGAAATGATGAGCATACTCAATAGGAAGCAGAAAGGATTATAATGCACATCCTTACCATACACGAGGTTAGAATTCTGTTGCTTCAACTCCTGGACAATATCCACCACCATTGCAAGAAATGATGTGTCTCTTGTATACCCTTTCAGAAAAAAAAAAAAAAAAAAAAAAAGACACCTTTGACGTCCAATTTCATGAACACTTTTCCTGTTTTTAGTTTTAGACAGGAATGCTGCATACTTCTCATTCTATGGATAAATGCATTTTTAGAGCAGAGATTTCAGTAGTTGACTCAGGAATAATAGGTTGGAATACAAATTCAGACAGTGCTTGCACAACTACCTGTATAACCTTAAAAATCCATTTACTAAGATGTTGTATATGAAAGGCTCATATAACTTCAAAATGCTCGAATATATATAAACAAATGTCAGGTTAGAAGGAAAAAACATTCCTTTTAATAAAAACAATATTTTGATCAGTATTATTTTTCACGCAGTAAACAGAAATCTTTTAAAATTCCATCTACTTTTCTCATGGTCTGTCTTGAAGCAATTTTTTATTATTGATAGTGTTCATGCTGATAGAGTCCAACACATTAATGCAATACAGATTTAACCTTGATAATTTTAGAGCAATCTCCAAAATACCAATGAAGTTCCTATTTTTCAGGCTTATGTTATGAAATAAGCTGGAAATAAGTTTTACTGTATTTCAAGGCCCCAAGCACAATATTCTTATTTAATAATTAGTTTTTATATTTTATAGATGTTCCTTAATTTATGTATTTATGTATTAACTATTTATGAATTATCAATTTGATTTTAATTTATTGTAGTTCATTTCTTGGGGATGGTGCTGGACAGGGCCATAAATTGGACTCAGTATTTGTGGGTCCCTTCCAACTCAGCATATTTTGTGATGCTCTGATTTAATACTATTATTTTTAGCAAGGTAGCATCTTTCAATGCCCTTGGAAATGTCCACTCTAATAAAATATTTTAAACTACATTAGAAAAGTAGATTTTTGAGATTTTTTTTTTTTTAATCTTGAAAAATTGATCAGTTCTTGGGTGCTGCAGAGAAATGGAAAAGATTTTTTTGCCAAAATGCTGGATTTTATCCATGAAATGCTGACAATCAGTCAAAAGAGTCAAGCAAAGATTTTTATTAAATGACCTGTGATGGCAGACTGGCTGGAAAATAATACTGAGTTTGATTAACATCCCTGATAGAGATGTTAAAAACAGTTACACTGAACTGCAATTTATCTCTTAACTTGAGTGTCCTACTATAAATTAAACAAATACAAAAATATCTACAAAAAACTGTCACAAAATGTCCATGGAGTATTACTTTGTATAACTGGCCTAAAGATAATAATTTTAATCTCAGCTGAGATATCTACAGTCATGAGACAATTAACAGTCAAATCCCACCTGCTGATAAATTGCTTTTCAGTGTTTAAATAATCATATCCAGGTTCTTTGAGGTACAAAGTAGTTGTTCACTATAGTGAATGTCTGTTTGAAGAGAAAAATCTGACTTTTGGCCCTGAATGAAAAAAAAAAAGGATTTTAAGTTCAGCCACAATGCAGCTGAATATTAAACACAAAAAGTGTTATTAGATGTTCAGAAATTACTGCTCTTTCTACCCATGCCTTCTTTTTGTTCATACTGAAAATGGCTGCAGCAAATGAGTTTTAAAACAAATCTGAACAACACACAAAAATCCTATTTTAAAAGACTTTTATTAATAAATAAGCCATTTTCCTCCCAAATTAGTTTTTGCTGAAGATTTCTATTTTCCTTCTATCAATTTTAATCTCTTACATTCATTTTGCCAGTGATAAGAAAGGAGTAGAGGTTTTTTCCAAGAGTTGGAAGTGAAATAAAAAGGAACATTTCTGCTAGAAGAATATTCAAATATCATTTATAAATTTTGCACACTAACATCTCCTGAAAATTCCTACAATACAGTGTGCTTTTCCTGGAAATGTGCTCTGTGTGAGTTCCTTCCAGGAAAGAAAGGTTGTTTATCTATTTCTCAATAAAAAAGAACCCATTTATGCCAGAATTAATTTCGTAACCTTAGTTCAGTCTATTTGCTTTCAGTCTCCTTTATTTTGGAGATATTAATTGACAAAACCCAGAAAATAACTCTTTGGACATGCCACACCCTTTAAGCCAGAACGACTGCTTTGGATTTAAAACCCATGCACTTAAAATTTCCAGTTTTCCCTGTGTATAAAGAACATTCCTACATGTGGAAGCCATGAAATCAATCAAAATTCTGGTGATGTATTTCTGCTTACCTTTAAAAAGTCCCTGTTCATTGCTGTAAGAAATTGATACTGTTATCCAAACCAGATGCACAGCTCTTACTGAGGTGAAATCTGATCAGTAACCTACTTTTGAGAAGCAGGAATTGGGTGAGAAGAAATTTTTATTAAAAACTTCTTGTAGAATCTCTCCGTTCTATGAAGTATTCTGCAAGAAGTTCTCTTTGCCTGTGTTTATAAACACTTAGTACATAGTACAAGCACAGGAAAACACTGCAGAAATGCATTCACTCAGATGACCTACACAAGAGGAAAAAATCAATATATAGGACAGTCAAAACCAAAACCCAACTCTACTCATACTTTGCTCACTGTCCAAAGCACTAAGCCTTAAAGAGCAAGTAAAAAAATCAAGGACATAAAAAAAAAAAAAATCAAGACAACTGTTTATAAAATCATGCCGCAGTACCACAGAGTGCTATTACTGCAGACTTGGGAGAAAGGGTTAAACTCATGTCTTCTTAATACATTTTAAAATAATACTCTGACATTCCACATCCATTGTTCCAATAGAGGCACTCCCAAAATATTAAGTGAGCCTGTACATGCCTGGCCTGTACAGGTCTGTAAATGATACAAGAGGATCAATTTACCTACCCAGTTACAACCTCCCTGCTGCAGAACTCTGGCTGTCCCAAACTAAACAGCACGAGCCAGTTCAGACTATAACATACAGCTGAAATTTTAATTGCTTGGCTTGCAACAAGGAGGGATATTTTTACATTTTTTCAGAACCCTGTTTACATCTGCTGGCAACTCCAGGGAACAAGCTCTCCTTACCCGTGAGCACATAATCGTACTGGTTGACCTTGTTCAGCTTCAGTCCTTCGTAAAGTTCATGAAGCTCATCTGAATTCAACACCTGACCCTTCCAGTGGGCATAGCCTGCAAAGCAAACACCAGGTCATCTTTCAAGGGATGGATTTTCTCTTTCAGATCACACAGATGATACACGTGGAGGGACCACATCCAATATCAGCACAGGAAGCATTTTCACCTCCCCTCCTGTGAAATGCTGTTGCTGAATGAAAGGTGCTGTCAGAAAGAACAGGTTATGTGCTCAACTTCTCCTTAATACCTCTGACTCCTTAATACCTCTGCAATCAGAGTGTCTATTCACCAGCAAATTAAGCTGAGCACACACAAGCTCCTGCAAGGCTTCCCATGGAGCTTTTGCAACTATCCCTTTCCTGTGTGGAGGAGGAAAAACATATGTTTTAGCCTTCAATGGAGGAGGGTGTCAGTATAACCTATTTTTGTTATACTATATATATATATATATATATATATATATATATATATATAAAAGGAAATATTGACAGTTAGATGACAATCTTAACAGGCTCATAGATCTGTCTGGACACAGGCCTGCACCCATCAGATAAAGCATCCACTGGGACCTGCATGTAACAAACAAAGTGACCACAGCAGAGCACTGCCGTGGATGGTCTTTAAATGTACAGGGTCACCTAACTGACTTTTTTCCAGAAATAACACAGCTTCAGTGCTGAGCATCCTGGAGGAGGAAATGAGTAGCAGAAAGATACTACAAACAGACAAATAATATCCATACACTCTCATCTCTAAGAATTGCAAGCAACTATGCTCAGCTGAGAGAAGCAGATGGAAGGTGGAAGTTACTTGGGATAAACTCAACTGATTTCCAAGGTCCATAGCAGCCAATTCCAAGGAAAATAAAAAAAAAATATCTCCCTTAACAGAATCTAAAGATTTGTTGAAAAATGCATCTTGCACCTTTTCATCAAAGCCTGCCCCTCTAAATGCACCAATCACTCCTTTGTATGTACGAAAGGGGCTTCCTCCAGGATCCACAATTTAACTCTTTCAATCTCAAAAATTCACAGTCTGTTCAAAGGCTTATCTTTTTATTAACTGGAATCAGGAAAAATGAAAGGTTAAGTGAGGTATCCTCTCCCATACCTCCCCTGTGTAAAGACAATGGTATTTTGTTTGTTTTAACTTCTGCTCTTGCAGTTAGAAAATTCTGTGATGAAAACTGTTGGCTTTGATTATCACACTAAACTGACTTATTAGAGTGACTGCCAAAAGGTGTCTAGAGCCTGGGATAAGCACATTTTTCAGTTCTCCTCCTGGTGAATGCAAACAGACCCAGGGTATGGTGAGCAGATGGATCATTTTGCTCTCCTCAGCTCACAAAGGCCAAGCCTCTAAAACACAACTTGCTGCCAGGTGCCTGGGGTCCTGACACATCAGCCACCATCACTCCCTCCCAGGAAAATGCTGCTCACAGAGTCTCTGTGAAGAAAGGGACAAAATAAGGGATTTCTGTGGTTTCATTGCAACACCTGCCCACCTTAGCACAGGGCCAGCCCCAAGGGTATGAAGAACCCTTGAGTGCACTAAATCCAGGGTTTGGTTTATTTAACACAAATGCAGGTATTTGTTCTGTCACATCTGCAGCATCACACAGAAATAATCTGTTCTCTCCTCCAGCCTCTGTAGCACTGAAAAGCCAGTAAAGGGACACATCAGAGTCCTTCCATTGTGGCCACCAAGGAAACTGGGTGCACTTTTCACCCAGAATCAAGGCAGAAAATGCTGACATTTATCTTACACATGGCCATAAAAATAACTATGATAGATGGCCCAGGCAACCTGGATACTTTCAGGAGCCATTCCTACAAAGACCATGTAAATTCACTTAACCAAAAATTCACCTTCCTATGTCCAGCTGTCTTAAATGGCCAGTGCACAGGGTTCATGATCCTCTGATCCTCCACTGAGAGAGAGAAATAAATACAAAAAGTCAACTTTAGGCAGCAGCCCAGCTTATACCTGGAGTTGGTGTCACCCACATGGAGGAGGGACATTGTCTGAACTGTGCAGCAACGACTTCTACAGGTAACTTGAGGATCCTTTTAACCTGGTGACCTGTAATACAACCTGAAGTCTACCTACACAACAGCCAGAGTTACAAACAAAGCCCTAGGGAAGCTCTCAGGGAAGCCCCAGCTATTGAGACATTAAAAAAAAAAAAGGGAATGCCTACACTGGAGCTGCACAGAACTGAGGTGTCACTAGGAATTGAATAATGTTCATGTAATAATCAAACCAAATCAAAACTGGCAGTAAGATGAGAAGCCCCCCCATGCCCTTTCCCCAGGGTAATTTCATGTAACATGACAAACAGAAGGAGCAAATCCCATGATCCTGCATTTATCCTACTTTCCTGGTGGAATAGAACACCAAAAAGCAGAAAGAGAGAAGAAAAAGGCAGTTACTCATGTTCAAAAAGAGTTTCATGAACTGGAGGATGGGGTCTCAGGAAAAGGGACTGTCTTGAAAGGGGAAAGGCAAAAAGCTGAGTCTTCCTTGTTTTGGGTACAAAACCACCAAATAATTCCTCTCAGTGCTGGTTACAGAGCAGAGAGAACACTGCAAATCATGACCCAGCTCTTCAAAACCCCACTGGCTCAGGCTGCATTAGTCTCCCATGTCTGAAATAATTTTAAACACACAATGAACATAAACACTTAAATAACCTTATACCTCTTCTGACTGTGTTATAATCTTTTATTGCAATTGCATGCTATCTATTTGCTTTTAGCAGATAAGGCAATAACAAACAAGAAAGATAGCAAGTAAGATACAATGCCTCATGTCACTAAAATGATGAACATATTCACCAGTCTTCAAGGAAATGTCCTCGTTCATTTGTATGAAAAATAAATACAATAATAAAAACTACAACCAAGAGAGGCAGCTAATAATTCTCCCAAGATGAATTTACATACTTGCCTTCCTCTGCCTTTTTTTTTTTTTCCTTTGGAATGTATTTATAATCCTCTTAATTACTTTCAAAAACAAAGATGAAATAAAATCAAAGTACCAGACATATCAGAAGGAAAAAAAAAAAAAGAAAAAACAAACCCAACTGACCAATACAGCAAAAGAAAAACAAGCTACCATTTTAGTATAGCAAAACATGTAAGATTCCTTTGTTTTCCAACCCAGAACATTCTGTTCTGAGGTTTGAGTTTCTCCTGTGGAGGAGCTATTCCAAGTGGCTCCAGTAACAAAGAATTTCACATGAGAAAAAGGAAGAAAGTTGTAGTGTTGAAGGCTCATGATGGACAGGCAATCTGGGCCCAGCTGTGTCACAAAATTCACATTGCACACTCAAGACAACCTGGTCTGAACACGACTCATCTGTAGCTAGCAGGAGGCCTGCAACAAAACCAGAAATTAAGTTTTTTATAGCTGGTCACAGAGTGGGAGTAAAATAATACCAGTGTCAGGCACAAGTGGAGATCTTTTCTTTGTGCCCTGCACACACAGGGGTGAATGAATCACCTGGGTGGGCAGGCTGTGCACAATCCCATCAAGGTACAATTGTAATTTCTCATGTGTTAGACCTACCAGCCAACCCAGCCACCTACTACACACCCACTAAGTGGAAGTCAAACGTGCTCAAGAATAAAAGGAAAAGTAACAGAAAAAAGCCCAGGCTATTTGTTCCAGAGCTGTTTCAAAGGTAGGATTTTAAAGGCAGAGTAAGCACATTATTGCTTAAAATTAACCTACCCATGAGAAAAAGAACTGGAAATCACTGAAGAACTAAAAAGACACCCCCAAAGTTTAATTATACAATTAAAAATAAATCAAATTTTTATTTTTGTACATCATATGAGGTGATTCTTCTGCAAACAGTATATTAATATAGAATAAAGAGCACAGTCTTAATAGGCTGCATGACAGCTTCTTTTATTTGTATGTGAAGCATGATGCCACTCAAGTGTGAGTCACTCTAATCACTGAAGTTCCTCACGAAGCAACATGACATACTGTTCTCCCAGGGCACTGATTCAAAGCACATTTTCCAAATTTCAGGATCATCAGAGACTAAAGCTTCATTTTCTGAGCAGGAGTCAGCAGAAAGAGGCCTATGGTATCTTACTAACTTGTAGATAGGGCAAAAAAAGAGCAATAATGATTCACCAAAATCTGTTAGTCATAAATTCTTTCTGCATTTTATTTGCTGCTGATTCCAAATTTAAAAAAGAGGGGAAGAAGGAAAAAAAGTATATCACATCCAAACCCCACACATTCTTCCACCTGTGTTCCTCTGGCATTCTTTCAGAAACTAAAGTTCACAGCTAGATTTTGAAGGAGTTTGTCCTCCAGCTTTAATGATGATGACAGAAATGGTCCTTGTAAAATTTGGTTTTTATAGGAAAATAAGTTACCTTCACCCATTCACCCATCACACAAGGCCTGTGTATTGCAGGACAATGCCAGACACAAGCTCTGCTTCCCAAAACCATGAGACTGTGTGGCAAACTTTGGAATTTTGTAACAGATTTAGCAAAAACAAAAACAAACAAACAAACAAAAAACCAGAAAAAAACCCACAAATTAAAAAGAAAAAAAAAATTGACTCCTAAACATCAGGAATAGTTCCAGTATTTTAAAGACTTATGATATTTGTGAGATTTTTCGGTTTGAGATGCTCTTTTCAGTCTTCATGTGGGATGAGGATTCACTAATTTAGTGTTCCTTCCACTGGCTGCCAAACCTTGAATGAAACATAGGTAACCTTTCCTTGGCTGTGACACTATTAAAAACAAATTTAAAATCTTCTCTCGTTTTTTTTGTTTTAAGAACCTCGTCACCCTACTGGTAATGTAACTTCCCCACTTTCAGACACATTCAGTTTATGGTCAATAAAACCTCTATTAAGCTCTTGCAATGCCCAGTAAATCTGATTTCATCTTGAAACAGAAAGCCAACAAACAACATGTACTCATGCATTTCAAGCACTGAAAAATATGACATGAAAAAATTGCTTAACGTCTGGAAGATTACAACAGTTTTACCCAGCTATTGAAACAAAGCAACAGAAAATCCTAAACTCCAAAACTACATTCTTTAATTAAACAGAAGTCACACCTAAGTATCTTTGAAAAACACAAGAGAACCTTTGTACTGTGCCGAAGGGTACAAGCAAAATAAGCAGATTTTTGCTTAAGCCAGGAAAGGCCTCCTTCCTGTGTTTAATTATTACCTTTTTTGTGCCCTTCTTCAACAAGCAGAGATAGCTTTAAAACCACCTTTGAAACATTAATTTTTTCTTCCCAAGGTGACACTAAATTCCCTCCATGATAGTTATCTTACAACTTTTTGAAAGCTGCATGAACAGATTAAGAGTCTGATCTCTGTTCCAAAAATTAGTAGTTTATTAATAGAACTGCACCTGTAGAGATATTAGAAAAGTACCTCAACTTTTGCCTTCTTTTTTCTTTGTCAGAAACAACTTTTGCTCTTTTCCAAGATGTTAAAGCCAGAATTTGCAGAATTATTTTCTGAAGACACCTATAGATTTTCTCTATCTAGAGTAGCTCTCCTCTCAAAAAATCTGCCACCACTAAGAGAGCATGTGTGCCTCCAGTGATCCAAAAATAGCAAGTCACTTGGAGCTCCTTTATGGGTGAAAGGTATTGCTAAAATAAATATAAATTTCAGCTTTCTTTTAAAAAATAAAGTCCTCTAGCACTGTGAGTATTAGGAAGTCTGAGCATATTAAGTGAATGCATTGCCTTCAGGCTTAGAGCTTAAATAAAAATACACTTAGATATATTAACACCCATCTTCCCACCAAAATGAGATTTTGGGATACTTGGTAGTACCTAGATGGGCACACAGTGAGGAAACACTGCATCTACCTCTCTATTTTCTGATGTTTGATTTGATAATGTGACTATGACTCTCACAGAGCCATAATTCACAGAAAAACATTTCCAAGACTCTTATTCACATGCCTGTTGTGTAAATGGCTGTATTTGTGTTATTTCATTATCTGACTTAATTAGTTCACTGCCTAACAGAAGAAACTCACACTCTGAAGGGCAGAAGGGGACATTACCACATCCATCCAATGCCCTACTCCCATATTCAGGCTTCTGAGAGACTTGAATCAAAACATGGAAATTACATTTCCATCCTATATCGTGAAAATGTGAGTGGAAACATAAGAGCAACGTCTTCTCCACTACCATGGGATGAGGTGAGCCCCATGCTGGGTGAGTTCAGTGACTGTGGAGTAGATCTGTAAAATTTTACCTGTGTGGTTTGAAAACTGGACAGAGTTCACCGTATCCACTTCAAATCCCAAAACCTGTAACAGAACACAGGAATATTTCTTTTAATAACACAACTTCATTAAAACGTTATCCACATCACAAAACATGGGGAAGAACTCCTGGATTTCCAGTGCATACTTAAAAATCTTGGGAGCTGAGTCAAAAAACATGCAACATAAATAAACAGCACAGTTCTCTACTACAGCAACAAACAGGGAACAAAAGTGCCACTGGCAACAGCACCAGAAAAACACAGGCTTTTTGAGCTCACACATCCTGAGCTCGGGATACTCAGGCTGGAGTTCATCTGGGGATAAGGCTGGAGAAGCTGCTCCAGCAGCAAGCACAGAAACCTTGAAGAAAGCTTTGGCTGGCCTTTCTTGCCAAGAAAAGAAGTACAAGGTACTAAATTAATGCACAATATGGAGGGATGATGCTGTAGGCATTCCAGAAAACCAATTTTTCTAAAAGGAGGATACAGGGATCTTAAAAGGGATCAATACTACAAGCCATACTTGGATGTTAAAATCAGTTACTTTACAACTAAAGAGAATAGAAAGAAGTCACAGAGAATTAATTTGGGCTATGATTGGGCAATAAAGGGAAGAAATAAACACAAAATAAAAAAGCCTAAAGCATGCTCTGAAAGCCACCTGCTACACTGCATTACCAGCAATCCAAATACTGAAATACCCAATAATTTCCTAGTGCAATCAACAAATATTCTTGTTGCCCAAAAATAGATAAATAATATGAAAATAAGAGCATCCAACCAGTAGGAGACTAATGAGGATTTTTAACCTGACAAAACCTGTTTAATGCAGACAGGCACTGCTAGTCAAGCCATTTTTAGACATTTTTATGTGTCACGCAAGGAATTCTAATGCAAAAGTGACATTAACAGTCTGACAGCCGAGCCTTTGTTTCCACATCCAGCTTGCTCTGAGTAAGAAATCTCCTCCAAAGAAGTGCTGCTATGTATGGCTCAGTGAGTCACACTGGGAGATAACGGGAATGATGCACCACTGTGCATGATCCTCTCCCAGGCAATTTGCTGGGAGGGGGGAGTGAGCAAACAAAGCTTTCCCAGTCACGTTTTCCAGCCAGACTCATGCCTCTCCCTTTTTCTGTCGTGAAGGCAACTCCTTCATATAGATTAAAACCCTTTTGGGTGTCTGGTGGCAGACATCAGGCTTTCCCTGTGCCTGTACTTTCCCTGTGATAAGCCCTTCATTCCAATACCTGGCTACAAGATGAAGCTACATGCTGTGACAGGTTGTTCCTTCTGCCTGCAGGTGCTACTCTTCTGTTGTTTCACAGCTCACATCCACACAGGTCTTCTTAGAATACATCTCTTATTTCAATATTTAATAGAGGTTTCTGTTCCTTCCTCACCAGAAAGCACAGTAATTTTGGATTAGTGGTACACAGAATGGTGGGTTACCTCAACCTGACCACGTTCAAATTAAGCTCAGCACCAATGCTCCCCCCAAGTTGTTGTTTCACCTTGGCGGAATTTATTTTAAAGTCCCAGGAACTGAATAGCTGAGAACATGGCAACACTGTTACGACCTTAACCTTCATGTCTGGACATGCTTTTCAAGCAAATAAAAGGGAATATGACCTCTAACCAGACTATCACCCCCAATTAATTCCCCTCCCTGTAATGAACAGAGCTAAGTTGCTACTTCCTTAAAGTATCTTGGCAATAACTGTGAATTAATTAATTTCTCTGCAACATTCAGATCACATCTCTCCAAATACTTAACCCCTGAGACTACAGAACACACTTACAGTGATTTACTGACTAAAGAGGTTTAGGGAAGGAGGGCAGGCACAACTGCTGCAGGCAGGGCAGTTCTACAACTCTGGCCAGTGCTGTCCCAGATGATGGCCACCAAAAGGAGCAGTCCTTCCTTTGTGCCTTCCCCAGCACCAGTTATCATTTGATTTCTCAGACACATTTCCACAGGATTAGGGATTTTTGGTTTGTTTTGGCCATTTAATCTGCTTCAACTAAAAGATGGAAAAGTACAAGGGAGGCCACCTCTCAGAGATAGACAGGTGCCAGGTTAGCTTGGCTGTATACTTGCTAAAACAGTAAATAAAATGCTTTGGAGAGTGGATGAAAAGCCACAGACAGCTCAAATTCTGCAAGGCACCTTGATATTATTTCTCTCTTTTCTCATAAGTCCAAAACAGGCTAAAAAAATCCCTTTAAAGGTCTCAATAAAAATCACTTACTGGTATTGGTCTACTCTGTCACAGTTTCCAGTTTCCTCTAAAGTTTTGTTTTGAATAAACGCATATGACTGAAATCTAACACACCTAATTTTGAAACCTGATTCAACCCTTAAAATAACTCACAGTTACTCCAAAGCATTTCCTTTTATAAGGGTGCTTACTAAGGCCTAGGCTTAGCATTAGTAGTAGAATAATCAAAAAGAATGCTGAAGCCATGTTAAGCCAAGTTGTGTTTGATTTCAAGGCAAACTGCATTTAAAAGTCCTACAGAATTCAGTCCTTTAGAATTTAGAAGACAACCTGAAAACAGAATTGAGGTGATAAAAGCAGCTTTTCACAGCAATCACCTCTTCTAGGACTAAAGAAAAAAAGGTCTTTATTTTGGTTTGCATAATTCATTTTAACAACTTGATAGTTTCTAGTGGATAAGAAAGTGTTTTCTTCCTCCAACCAACAATTATAACCAGTGTTAGTGACTGCCATCCTTCACACCTAAAGGACATCAGAGACAGCTTCTGATACACTGAATGATGGATGCTTTCCTTACCTACAAAGGGAATTTTGTTCAAAATATGTCTTGTTAAACCTTTTTAATACATACTCATACTTTTAATTCCTTGGGCAAACCTAACTAAAAGCACTGGTTTTGAGGGTTTTTTTTAACTAATTAAAAGTTTCTAGTCAGAGAGGTTAAATAAATATTAAGTGCAAGTTAACTAATTAGAAATACATTACTTTTGTATGTACAGACTTTGAAAACTGAGATCAGAGCAAATGAATTGAATGAGACAAATCATATGAAAAAAAAGTCAATCTCTCATATTTGCACACAAAAGTAGCAACTATGACCTGAAAATATATATTTATTAGGATATAACAATTTTCATCCTGTAATAAACAGTAAGAAGCAACCTTTTCTCTAGAAAACTACCAGAAAGTAACAATTCAAACCAGGACTAAACTCAATATATAAAATTTCTTGCTTAGGTACACACACATGTTTTCCTTGTAGCTCTGTGTCAATAAACTGAAGGACTCACCCCACTTGGAGCTTGCCTGTGGCAGAACAAGTCGTATTTGATCAGCATCAGGACCGAGCTTACAAATAAATGCACTTTTAATGTTTAATTTTTGCTTTTCTACACCAGCTTTAGTCCATACCAGTGCCACTCTCCTGCTCCTTACAGCAAGGGCCCCGTGGTGACATTGCTGCTTCTGGTTTGGGAAATGAGGTGGCATCAGACACTCTGCAAGTGTCCAAGGGCTCCAGCTGCCAGGGACACCTGAGCTGGATGTTCTGCTCTCCTACAGGCTCTCCAGGAGAGGACAATTCCAGCTTTCCATGCTCTGCTGTCGCCCTGTGCAAATATCATTTGCCCACAGAGCAGGAAACCTTGGGCAAATCTAAACCTGGATCTAAGCCCCAGTGTGGGTAAGGATGGTAAGTGCTTTTCTAAGGAAAAAGATGGCTGAGTCCAGCCTAAATCTCTCAGCCTGCAGTCTAAGCACATGTCAAATGTTGTTCTTCCTAAGACCCAAACCACAGTTGCCTGGATCACATCATACAGTGATATTTGCAATTGAAATCTTAAAGGAAAATGGGAAAATTCAACAGATTTTTCAAGCATCTTCAAATAAAAGAGGCAGAACTGTTATACTTCTAAAATTAACTCACAAAACATTAAAACTGGAGGAGTTCTGTGTTTGGAAGGCTCGGCTGGCAGATCTGAGTGACACATTTCAGAAAAATATTTGCAAGACTAACTCCAAGTACACACACCAGAGCAGAACACATGAGAGGAAACAATCAGCACAAAGAACATTGTGCATGACATCAAATTCAGCCAAGTTCTTCATCACAGGTAACTGAAGTGAAGGAACAAATCTCATCCAGTTCTTCTCCCATGTGCTTTCCCAGCCTTGCAAAGAGAAAGTGGGACCAGGGCAGGGATGTGGTCTAGAGAACTACCCAAAAGCACCTCTAAAAATAGCAAATACTCAAGGGAAAAAATCAACACACAACAAAGGAAGAAACTTCAAAATACATGGACAACCTCTAAAGGTGTTGGCTCTTTTGGAAAAGAGGATAGACAGCCTAGTTTTCCTAAAAGCACAGAAGTAATTTAAACTTATATCCAGCCATTATCCTCTAAATAAAAAGCCAAGAAATGGGTCTCCCTCAGGATTAAAATTTTACAAGGGATACCAGTTGTTTGACTAGTAGAGCAACCTAAAGGCCCAGACAGACAGAAAACATCTTGAATGGGGTAAGTTACATAAACAGCTGGATCTCAGTTATGGTTCACTCCAATCATGCAACCCTTTGGACTCTGCCACTGTGCTAATTACAGCTTTGTTTAAAATTTGCAGTCTCTCTTCCTATTCCTTCCAGAAAACCTTTCCACCACATAAACACTAAAATGTGTTTCATCACCATGACAAACCATTGCCTAAGATTGTTGGACATCAAATACTGCAAACATACATTCCAGAGGAGTCTCGGCTGTTATGTAAAGGGGAAGTGAAAAACAAGAAAACCATTTCACAGTATGGAAAATTGTGAGTGTAGCAATAGAGAAATGAGCAGGAAGATCTTGAAGCAAATGCAACATCTGAAATTCAGTTTTAATGATTGCCAACCTTTATGTTTATATTTGTGTATCTACATTGTGTACCAATGGCCTGGAGACAAATAAAGGTACTCATTTCTACCTCCTAATCCTATTTGGGATCTGATTATTAACACCACTTGAGTCAGAAAACTGTTAACTTCAAAGATTAGCTCTGCCTC